AACAAGATTACAGCATCTGCAGATTTAAATCTAAAGTTAATTTTTTTATAACTTTAAATGACTTGTGTACATTATGTCAATGTTTTAGCGAGGTGGAGTTTTTTCCGCAACTTTCCCTTTACTCTTCCAATCTAACTCTTCAACTTAAAGTGACACTAAACTCTGGAATTCCATCTTAAAAATCCATTCAAGGACCTTAACTATTAACAAAAATGTATCTTATTTGTGAATCACTCAGCTGTAGATCCTCAAATCATCTATGAAATGGTGCTGACACTGTCCTTCCTTGTGGAGGGTGGCTACTTTTGTTCCCCATGGTCCCTGTGTGTGTTGTAAAGTAGCCACCGCTCCAAGCTGGCTCATGGACTACAATCTCAATACAAATTAGTAAACTAAACATGAGGTGGGTTCTACAAGAGACACCTTTAATAGGAAGTTCACTTTAAAAAAATAAAAAAATAAATGCACACTCCTTTATAAAGAAAAAATGTGCAGTTATTATTTTTTTGCATAGAAGCCAGTAAAGGATTGCAACCACGATCGGTAGCTTGTGGCTCCTGCAATCAGTTTCTTCCGTTCATGCCTGTACCGATGGGAGGCAGAGTTCATGGACTACAAGTGCAGTGACATCACTGGATGGGAGACCACTCTTATTAACCCCTTCATGACTGAGCTTGTTTTTGGTTTCTGTTCGTAAATGACTGACACACTTTTGACATTTTTGCTGTGTGATTCTTCCACGTCAGTAATATACTTTCTTACAAAGTGCACCCACACATATTATATATTGTTTTTTAGAGGACAGATAGGGCTATATATTTATATCACATATGTGTGTCTAACGCCTCACTTAGGACAAATACAAATTAAAAAAAGAGGAAAAAACGTAAAAAAAAAACTTTTTTTCCCAGTTTTGATTTGTAGTATTTTTTTTTAACAAAACCAGCACAGCTAAAAAAAAATGCAATACATACATTCATTTATTTGTCCCTTATTTTTAATTTTTTTACACTTTTCACTATTTTTTTTAATTTATTTACACTTTTCACTTTTTTTATACTGACAAATTTTATTTATTTAATTATATCAGGCAGTCATTGTGAATTAATCTCACTATTACTGCTTGATAAATTAATACATTTTTTTTATTATCAGGCTGCTTCAAACTTCAGAACAGCCGATAATAAGTTAGTGACACTGATCCTGCAGCAGTTCAGGATTCAGCTGTCAGTGAATGTTTCAGAAAACTTAAACATTCTACTTTCAAGAATAAATACATTATGTGTCTAATACATAACATTTTGTATCTATTCTTGAAAGTCAAAAGATAAAAAAAAAAAAAGCCAGTATAGCTTGAGAGAGATATCTCTCGATCTATACGAGCTGTCAGAATGCCGGCAAAAGCCGACATGTGTGTCTGCTTTGCTGTGACTCTCAGACACCCGATATTAAGGTATCGGGTGTCTGAAAAAGGTTAACCCTTTCAGTAATGGATCTCTAGATAGTTAGACATCTATTACTGAAAGGTAACCGCTGATTCTCAGCGGTTAGCAGCCTTCTAGTGCAGCAAATAACTCGTCACGTACAGTGTACGTGACGAGTCATTTGGTCCCTTTGTGGCTGGACGTACAGTGTACGTCTCCAGTCACGAAGGGGTTAAAGTAGGCCTGAGTGCTGGGTGGATTTTCAACTCCTGACTTGTGAGAGTGAGTGTTGGGAGATATATTGTAGAGCTTGGTGTAAAATTCCCTGAGGATCAGTTGACACCAATTATTGTGAGTTCCAGAGCAGTAGCTACTGGAACCCACTGTAATAGCACAGTAAACTCCCTCCTTCGTTCTGGAGTGAGGAGTTCACTGCATGCTGCATTTTTTTGTGTTCGCACTGGACCGAGACTAAAGCAATGTTTTGCCATGTGTCCTATCACACTATGGGCAGGGGGAGTAGCTGCGGTGCCATTGACTTCAAGAAAAGCCATTGACATTCAGAAAGGGGGGGGGGGTTAGTGTGTGATTACAGTGCGTTCCAGCAGCTATTGCTGGTGTAAAGGTGTGAACTAGCCCTAATTTGTTTTGCAATCTTAAAGGAAAACTATGGGGTTAAGGCTTTTCCCCATAGTTCTCCTTAGGGTAATGGGAGGACACAAACTAGCGTCCTCCCGTCACCCTAGGCTCAGTATATCGCAAACTGTAGCTCGCGGTATACTGAGACGCCTCTGTATACCGCGAGCTGCTGCTCGCTGTATACTGAGAGGCCGCAGCAGAAGCGGATCCCGACAATTGTGCCGGGATCCGCCCAGCTGCGTGACTGACAGCTGGCTCTGCCTATCTAGAGGCAGACGCTCACCTCCCGATCTACTGAGCCGACCTGTGACAGTCTCATTGTTACAGGTCGGCTAGAACTATGAGGTGAGTGAAAAGCACTCACCTCATAGTTCTCCTTTAATCGGACTTTGGTGAAACTTAAATTGTTTTGCAATCTTAATGGGACTTTGTGTTGGAAATTCATTATTTCATATACAGCCGGTCCCACGTTTTCCTTTAAAGCTCTAGCCAGAAAAGTGATTGTTTTGTTGACATGTTCATAGAACACTTCACAGCATAAAAACATGTCAAGCAATTCTTTGTGCAATTTAGATAGCTCCATAGCTTGCGTAGTTGTTTTAGCAAGGATATCTCATGGGCCAAGTCATCTATTTCTTGGTTTCTGAAGTTTTTTTAATGTTATTGCCTTAAGCTATGAGCTCGCCTCTTAGTGTACATTCGTGGACCTGTCAGATGATTAGCTGAGATAATTAGATTATTTTCTTTTAAAAAAGTTTTCAACACTCTGTTGGACTGGGAGAGCATATAGTACATTGGAAAGTATTGGGTGCATTGAATATTGAGTATCAAAGTTCATTGTCGAGTTCTATTGCTTATACGTTTGCTCTTCCTTGTATTTTGGTATGGCTTTAGGAGCACAATCCCAGATATTTGTGTTTTTGCATTTGTGAGCCAGGGAAGGTTGTTGTGAGAAATACTAGGCAATCAATGTATTTTTGATGAGGGAAACAAAAAAATGATAGTCCAAAGTGTCAGGGTGAAGAGTGTGCCATGTCTCTATCAGACACATGGCGCATAACTGTTTTTTAATTCTTTTCAATGCTCAAGTTGTGGATCAAGTGTCAGATTAAAAGATCAGTGCCCTACCAATGAACACTTTCAATTCCTGAAGAACTTTCTCAAGATATTTGGCCTGATTCCAGCTTGGAAAGTAAACATTTGCCATGGTGATTTGTTCCTGTCCTAGAGCACCTTTTAAGGTGAATCTGCCGCCTTCATCTTTGAGTCCATCTTGGAAGATGAAGTTGGTGAATTAGCAGTAAGATGGATACACCTTTGGTCTTGGAGATGGGATCACTGACATGAAAGACTAGATTAAAAAGGCAAGTAGTGAGGTGAGGCATTCAGTCACATTTGAAATGTGTTTCCTGGAAAAAGACTATGCTGGTTAATCATACAATATATTAAATACTCATATAATCTAATATATATAAAATACTGTTCACAATGTAATTGGAAATTGGATGATGGCACTGTTTTGCTTGAATGGTCCAATATTTGTATATATTTTATATATTTTTATGCATTAATTCATCTAGTATTTATTACATACTGGGAGATTTCCATCACTTGATGTATGGTCTCTAGGACAGGAAGAGAAAAGAGCCACCCCCAAAGGCACACAGAAATGAAACTATTAAAGGGTTTCTTACCCAATCTCTCCAAAACAGGATAAAAACGTTTTGGCTAGAGGTCCAATTTAAGAATGAATTTACATCTCTGTGTTTGAAGATGTGCATTTTTTATGTGCTATGGTACGCTTCTAATGCAGTTTTAATGCTTTGCCCATTCAGTTTAATTGCTGCTTTTATGAGGTCATTCCTGTCACAAGTTTTTTTTTTCTGTGTGTGAATTTTGTAACATTTTGTGTGAATTACATGTATTTTGCATGCATTGCCCTTCATTTCTATGTAACGCTGAAAACATAATTTCTTCAAACAGCACTAAAATGGTTCTATTTGGAAGAATAGTTAATTTGTCCTAAAGCGTTTCACATGCACTTTAAATGTGTGTTAAAACACGGTCCTTTAATAGGTAACATGCTATATTGATTTGGGACCTGTAATAGAATGTGTTTTAGTATGTTTTAATGTTTGTTAGGCAATGTTAGTTGTTACTGTCTATAGTGAACATTGAACTTGTGTTCTTATATTTTTTGGTATTACGTAATGTATGTTAACATTTAACTTATAGCTAAACTCCACGCAGATATAAAAAGACTCAAATAAAGCTGCTTAATTTATATATCCTTAAATGTCTTTTTTAAAAGCCTCAGTGTATTTTTCTAAATTTGGCTTGGTATTGCAGTCTTCTACTTATCTAGCAGTCTGTGCAGCAGAACTAAGAGACGTGGAGGCAGAAGAAGCACAAGAAGTCATAGAGGTGTTCCCAGCCAATCAGCATGGAGCCAGTTTCCCGGCCAATCAGGAAGCTGGGAGGCGGGTCATTACTCGGCTCCCGGCTTCCTGATTGTCCGGGAAGCCCTCTCCATGTTCCCCTATGGCACTGCCGATCAGAGCAAATCTTCCTCTGACCAGAAGTTCTGGTATCGGGGAAGGTATTGGAACAATTGGGCGAGTACTTGCCCAAATACTCAGTATCGGCACCGATACTAGTATCGGTATCAGTGCATTCCTAGTAAAAACTGCAGCAGGGGAAGATCAGGTCCCCTGCCCTGCTAGAAAGGGCAGTGTGGTGTGGCAGATCTGTGTAACTATAAAGACTGGATGGACAGAAATACAAATCTTTTGGTAGGTAAAACAGCTCTTATATATGTATTTATTCTACGTATTTAGCTGGTTGCCTGGAGTTCAGCCTTAATGTAGAGATCAATAATATCTTACTATTTCTAGCACACATATGGATGAATGAACCATGTCATGTCTGTGTTTGCAGCTTATATCCAGGCTTGTCGTGCTTTGATGATCATCGCTCTCATCATGGGCGTCTTCGCTTGTCTCATCTCCTTGTTTGGACTGAAGTGCACCAAATTTGGGAGCAGTGATGAACACACCAAGGGAAAGATTGCGCTGTCCGGAGGGCTGATTTTCATTATAGCAGGTACCTGACTAACATACTGCACTACACATTGAAATAAATAACAACAATAATGAAATAAATCACAATCTCAACTATATTAAGTTCTGAATAAACAAGTGTCACCACATTCTGAGAAGTGAAAAAACTACAAAATGACAATTACTGTAATACATATAGAGATGTATTTGACAGCAGTGCCTAACAATATACAGTACTAAGTGATAGTACTTCAACAGCCAAAAGTTTGTGCAAAACATGATATATATAAATATATCTATAAATATATCTATCTATATCTATCTATCTATCTATCTATCTATCTATCTATCTATCTATCTATCTATCTATATGTAACATGGTGCCAGTAAAATCTGCCAGGTTGGCAGGAAAAGTGATAGATGGTAGATGCATTCCTCCATGGATCCTTAGATTCATCATCTAAGGTAATGCCAGCATAGATTTGGAGGTAAAGAAAAATAGCTCTTTACCTTGTATTGGTAAAACAAATCCTGGGCTGGTGTTACTAGGAGTCTGATAGAGCTCTTGGTGGGACAGACTCCTAGTTCCATGGACCGTAGTTTAGTGGAGACTGTACAGGACTTCATTAGTGTGCAGCTGCATCTAGCTGGGGAAAGTGTGTGTCTGCAAGCAGAGACAGTGTGCTGAATGCAGCAAGTTCTGTGTTTGGAGCCAACCCTGTCAGCAGGACAGGGTTCTGTGGATGGACTGTAACTGTTCCCAGGGCCGTCTTTAATATTGATTGGACCCCGGGCAAACATTTTCTTGGGCCCCCCACCACACCCCGCATGCAATATTGCCCACTATATGCTGACAGAGCAGAGCCACGCTGCAGCTGGGATGGATCCAAAAAATATTGTCCAGATCCACCCCACTACCTGATTGACAGCTGACTCTACCTCTCTAGAGGTTGCGTCCGCCCCATCCATCCCTCCAGTCAGCGTTGGAGGATCAGAGAGGGGAGGGGGCTATTCCTGCGAGGAGCCGTGACTGACAGTCACCGCTCTCTGCAGAGAGAGTGAGCGCAGGAACTGAGTGATCAGCGGTATGTGATCGCTCAGTTCTCGATCAAGAGAGCCAACCTGTGGAAGCTTCAGTAACTAGGGGGAAGAGCGAATTTCACTCTCCCCATAGTTCTCCTATCATGGTAAATGTGGATAATTCGCCACCTACACCTTCCACTGCATAGAATAGCAACAATAATAATAATGACACCTGAGCATGTCCCCTGCTGTCATTATTATTTTTATGCCCCCCCCTGGTGTCACGATCAAGAGAGCCAACCTGTGGAAGCTTCAGTAACTAGGGGGAAGAGCGAATTTCACTCTCCCCATAGTTCTCCTATCATGGTAAATGTGGATAATTCGCCACCTACACCTTCCACTGCATAGAATAGCAACAATAATAATAATGACACCTGAGCATGTCCCCTGCTGTCATTATTATTTTTATGCCCCCCCCTGGTGTCACCATTATTATTATTATGTCCCCTGGTGTCATTATCCCCGGACATAACAATAATGACACCAGGGGATGGACATAACAATAATGACACCAGGGGATGGACATAACAATAATGACACCAGGGGATGAACATAACAATAATGATACCAGGGGATGGACATAACAATAATGGCACCAGGGGATGGACATAACAATAATGACACCAGTAGATGGACATAACAATAATGACACCAGGGGACGGACATAACAATAATGACACCAGGGGATGGACATAACAATCATGACATCGGGGGGACATAATAATGACACCAGGGGACGGAGATAACAATCATGACACCGGGGGGACATAATAATAATTACACCAGGGGGACATGCTCAGGTGTCATTATTATTTTTATACAGCATTACATCATAGCCCAGCAGTGCCACACCTAACCCGACCACCCCCCATCCCCTTCTCCCCCCCACCCAGATAGAAGCCCAACCCAGCAGTCATGTGCACTCACCGTGGACAGGAGGAGGATGAGACTGCAGCCATGGAGGGAGGAGGGCAGGACCATGAAGCAGTGTGTGCAAAATCTATCGTCCTCGTTTGCTGAGTGGGAGGTGACATCCCGGGCTGCAGAGATCTTTGCTGCACATAGGGAGTGGGACAGGAGGCTGCTGCCCTCTAGTGTCAGAAAGCGGTAGTGCACACTAGACGGCTGGTACAGAAACGTTTCAAACTTTCACCAGCTCTAGTTTATGGGGTGCAGGGCCCCACAACAATGATTGGGCCCCGGGCAAGTGCCCCTTTTGCCC